TTGATAGAGCCGACTTAATGGAGGGTGTTTGCATCAGATTCATCATTCCCTATCAGGTAATTGTGAAATTGCTTTAAGCCATAACAACAACACTCACCCCCTCCCTCATCCTCCAGTTCAGTTCCTCTCCTTTAAAGTCTCTGGGGTCATGACCCACCTGGAGGCCAAATATGTGGTATCTGGTGTACTGAATGATCTGATTATATTTTTACCAGCAGAGCCTTCAACTCAATGTGCAGTTCTACTCCAAAGAGCTGTTGGGTAACAATCCACTTTCCAGAGGTTACTCTTTATGGTCCTTCACATACCAAAAGTCCCCTATTTTTCTAACTAAAAGTGTGTAGCGTTTGTTGTACTTACACACTGCAAGCCTTCTGGAGCTGGGCTGTGGTGGCTCTGGAACATCCAGTGTCATGTTGGTGCATAGAACTCTTGAAACCTGGATGACAGCACAGGACAAGATTATTTGATTGAACTGACAAGACTTTCTTGTAAGTTCAGCTTCTGGGGTTGTAAGAGTCATCACAATTTCCCTGGGTCCTTCACCACACTTAAGCAATGCGGTGCTAAAATCACTTATCTTTGAAATTTACTTTATATTACTTCCATTTCTATCTCCCTAGATGTAACCTCATGTCAACTGTAGTGTTGTATTTGATAATGAATGACCATGTATACTTTTTTTTTTTTTAAATAAAACTATAGCATTGATACTTCTTCACTTGTGGTCAGGTTAGTGGAATTTCATAACTGCCTTGTTCCTGTGTCTTTGCAAGGACCTAGATTGGGATGTGAGGGCTGCCTTCCAGCTCTGCTGTTAAGGCAGCTCTCAAACTCCAGCAAATCTCACAGTTAATCCTCCAGTTCAGTGATGGGTCGCTGCAAAGAAGGCTTGAAGCAGGCTTAGGAAATCTGCTTTGAAGAAGCATAGCAGCAGTGGAGGTGCGTTGGGTAGTAATCATGATGCCTTTCCTCTCTGCATCTTTGCCCTGAGTGTGATAGAGCCTGGAGGCGCAGCTGATGTGAACGATGGGAAATTCTCCTCTTACTTCATGGTTTGCTGCAGATTTCATTTTGAAATTATTCAGTTGTCTTCCAGTCTCTCTGTAGTAAGTTTTAAGGACATGAAATAAAAATTGTATATCAGAGTGGCAAAGTTGGTGAGGTAAAGAGGTGAAACCTGGGCAGTGGCCGTTGTCAAACTGATCCTCCTCCCTTAGCTGGGTGGGGGCGAGGAGAACGTGTAGCAGCAAATGTTATTATACATAAACACTCTGCATAATGCACACATTAACCTCCTGCAGAGTCCAATCCGAAACAGAGCTCAAAAGTTTGCAGTTTAGGAATTGTACAAGTATCCTGTGATGCAGGTAAAAGGAAGGGGGAGGGTGGGAACACACTGTTTCATGTGTACAAACTGCCTGTCGCTGGGAATGGGACCAGCTCAGTGCTGAGCTGGCTGCAGTCAGCGTGCATGTAGATACAGAAAGAATTACGTACGCCCAGATCAAACCTCCTGCCCATTAGAACCCTCTCCCAGGCTCCTTCATAGTTTGGTGCAGTATGGCCTGGACATGGGACAGGGTGTGTGAGGGTGAGCACTGATGTATGGGTGTTGACAGGAGAAAAACAGGCGTGTGAGACCGGGGAGGAGCTCCTCAGTCAAGTCTGGCTCTGTTTTTCTTGGACACTGTGTCAGATCGTCTCAGCTGCACTCAGCCTGGGACAGTCTTTCCCACATCCCCCTGAGCCCACTGATACTACATCAGACGTGCAGAATTTTAGGGAAAACTTGTCGTAATTTCCCTCTAGAAAGCAACACGTTTTTCTGTTTGCTTGGTTTATTTTTACCAAATGACCTCATCTAGGAATGTAGGGTAGACACGTTATCTGGGTAATGTTTTTTTTAGTAACGAGCATTAATTTAGTTACATTAACTCATTGGTTTGGGTGGTATTTAAATGCAGATGTGTTAATAATAACAGAAGCGTTGGGAGTTTTTTTCCTTCTCTTCAAATTCCACCACTTCATTTTTTTCTCCAGGCTCTTTGCTGCCTCCTCTGCCCCCTCGACACACATGAGCACGGTTAAAAACACGTTTTCAAGCAGGTTATGCTCCTGCTGCCCCCTCAGCCGCTGCTGGGGCATGCTTGCTGTGAGCTGCCTCCCCGTTTACACAGGGAGGAAGAAAACAGATTGCACCAGGCCTTTAGGAGACACTAAGGCATTAACACCTTGAACTGGTGCCCCCGGCTTTTGGGCAGGCTGGATGAGGATGGCACAAGGCGAACCAGCCAACAGCTCAGTCAGAGGGTCTCACTAGCTCCTCTCCCCTGCTGGGGAGAAGCCTCCTGCCCCTGCCTCCCCTCCAGCTCTCTTGAACTCCCAATGAGGCTCAGATGTCCTAATGGCCTCAGGCGGTGTTAGGAAATCAGCTGCCCAGTGCTGGCTCCCAGCTTCCCCCGCTGCAGCCCAGCAGGACCCCCCTCTGCTCTCTGATACCTGCCCCAGCTTGCACAAACGCATCCCTGACAAGCCTCCCTCCTGCTCTGCTTCCATGCTGCAGAGACCGGTGCTCACATGAGTGGCCGTTCCTAAGCTTTCCTTTACTTGGCCTTTCCAATTGCAATCTTGTTCTCTCTTGGCAAGGTAGAAATGTCCACCAGAGATGTTAACCAACCTTTTCGGGTAAATCCGTGACAGTCACTATCCACAACCAAGTCTCTTCATAGAGATTCCAGGGTGGCAAATCAAATAGGCTTGGCTCACCAGCATTTTCCTTGTATGCATACTATGTTTTATTAATAGATTCCCACCAGAATGAAAATAGTTGGCACAGTTTATATACAGCATACAGATTGTAGAAAAGTTGAAGGACGAGCAGACTTCAGGCAGATCATGTGATGCAGAAATGGCAAATTTTCTGATTCTTAAAGGTTGATTCATTTTTATTATGGTATTTTAACTAAAGTCTTTTCATTTGAATATGTTCCTGAAATCCTACCCTAGGCACATCATACCTGACATAAAATTCCATAGTACATCGTATCTGGCATAAAATTCCACAACACAGAAATGAAATTTCATGGCGTGCAATTTAATGATATAATAGTTGGTCATGATTTCACTGACCTATATGGAAATTTCATCACTGATTTCAGTTGAACCAGGGTTTTGGTCTCTTAGGTGTTTTTCATAAATTCTTTGTTCAAAGGCACCTGACAGGATGTAGTGTACCCTAACCTTAATAATGGTTCAGCATACCTGTTTCCCTAACTCACTTTGTAGCGCTGTGTTCCTACACCCGCCCTGCCATTCCAAATTTAATGAAAACTTACACAATGAAAAAGAAAATCTACTTAAGTATTTTATTGCTGAAATGCCTGAATGTGTCACGTTCAGAAATTGTGTCTATGTTGTCTCCGGTTGGGGTAGGGAAATGCTGTTGCCCCAAAATTTATTAAAGGTGGGTCTAACTCAGAGATGTGGAATTCTTTGCTTAAAGTTGTATGAAGTCTCTAACTGGACAGGGAACTGAGCCTCTCTCCCACGTTGGAGGTGAGTAGTTAGATAAGCTTCATGCTTATGTATTCCAGTAGTATAGTAACATTTAGCTCTTGGGCATTTGTTTATACCAGCAGATCTCAAATGCTGCTGTACGTAGCTGTCGTCATTATTGCTCTTCTACAGGTGGCCCTGAGGATCTTGAGCAATCCAGTGATAAAGCAGGAGTGGAATTGTAGGTTTTCTAAATGCCAACTTATCTTCTTGGCCAAGGTCTCTTCTTGGTCATAGGGCTAGGTGACACCTGGTGAAGGGAAGTCCAAAGATAACGTTATAAGGTTTTGTACTTTTCTGTCTATTGATTTAACTGGGGAAAAGTTATCTCTGATGAAATAAAATTCTCCGAAAATGCAGTCTTGCATTTGGAATATTGGAAAATGTTAGATTGCTGTTTGCCTGGAACAAATGTCATATGGTATAATGATCCAGCCAAGTGGGAGATTTCATGTTTCAGTGAGTCTCCCTCTGCTCATTGTAAAACTTCCATGGCCGTCCCACTACTAAAGATTTACATCTGAGAGTCTGTATCCTAAACACGGGCGGCACAAACATAACAGGCTGTGGGCTGTATAATGTCAACCACGGAGAAGTAATGAAATATTTAAGCAGAAGCAGACCATTAAGTTCATAAATTCAACATTGTTATAAACATAGATGTTAATTGTCAAAGCAGGTATTTAAATGATTGTTACCATTATACTGGTATAAAGCAGAGTTTAAAATAAAACGGTTTCACAGGTTTCGTGGTTTGGATGTTACTTATTTGTCACTTCTTTTTACTTACATCTTCTGTTGTAGGAGTGTGATTAGACAATTTTCATTATATGGATCGGACTAGATGTAAATCACAGTGTTACACTGTAGATAAGAGGTGAAGACCTGGAAAACACAGAGACCTTCCATGTCATTTCAGTTAATATTAGCAAGAACAAAACTTCAGGTTATTGGATGTCTCTATGAATTACTTCTCTGCCAGTGATGGCATACTGACAAGTAAAATTATGTTAACACAGTTAGACAACTAGTGATGAAGCCAAACTTGGTGTTTTTAATTTTCTGTGTTACCTTTCCTTCTGTAGTCTACTGTGAGAATCCTAACAAATACAGTAATAATGATTTTATTTACCCTTAATTAAATTCTACACCATGCAGGTTCTTGAGGCTGTTGAGAGGCCGTATATGCAGCAGACATAAAGCAGTGGGTTGGAAATGTGCTAAAAGCTGTTAGCGATACGAGAGGACACAGCCTACCACATTGAGAGAGCAATGTGAACGTGAAGTACTAGTTAGAGGTGTTATTTTCATAGCATGCTTTCTTACTAACTTTGTATCATTGTCATGGTGGTGGTTAACAAGGCCACACTCTTTGTTTGTGAATGCTCTGCATACATGTTTTCCCACACCCTTATCAGATATTTTCTTTGTGTTTTTAGATCATGGGGAATTCATATGCAGGGCAACTAAAATCTGCCCGATTTGAAGAAGCTCTTCATAACTCCATAGAAGCTTCTCTGAGATGTAGCAGCGTTGTCCCACGGCCAATCTTCTCACAGCTGTACCTGGATCCTGACCAGCCTCCTTTCTTGCCGGAAGGTAACCATGAAAGTATGGCCCATTTCCATTGTTGTTTTTCTGTGTGAGAAAAGGGTGGGATACATTTAATTTAAAAAAATTCAAAAGGCCACGCAGCAGTTCGCTGTGTGACACAAAATTTGAATCTTGGGCCTTATTAAGGGGAAAGAATGGCATGCTGATTATTTTATAATACACAGCTAAGTGCCAGTACTGATGAAAAGTTCATTATATTCTTTTATTGCTCAGATGTGAAGCCAAAGGTAGAAGAGTTGGATAAAGAGCTAGTACATCGCTATTCACAAAATGGAAACCTGGACTTTTCTGCCAACCAAACTGTTAATGAAATGGAAGATGAAGAAGAGGATGAAGACATGTCAGATTCAAGTAGTCCACCAATCCCGTATTCACAAAAACCTGCCCCGGAAGGGTCTTGCACTACTGATGGTTGGTGTCCATTCTTTTACATGTGTAATCTTTACAACTAATTATCATTATAATGTGTAGCCTCTGCAGTTAAAAACTCTTGAGCTAGGAAGTCTGGAAATAGAGTTTGCAGTCAAATCCTTAAATCTAAGAAAGTATGGAAAAAGAGGACTTGCTTCAGCACATAAAATGTAATGTATCATCTGGAAGCATTGCCTAAAACTTGCTGGAGCACTTCATTAATTTCTGAAAGCCCCTTATTTTCTTTGGTCATCACTGGTTTACTGTCCTCAAAAAAGTTGCAAGTCAGCATCAGTATGGCTGGTTCTCAATCTGTCCCTAAATTATGCTCAGAAACATTGGTAAAGCTGGATTTAGTTGCTTCCATGGGCAGAAGGAAGAGTTTGGAGAGAGAGAAAATGGAGAAGAGAATTGGTGTTCCTTCTGCTGCCAAGGGGATAAGAGGGAATGGTAGTGGAAGCTTATCTGTTTTGTCTTTGCCACCTGCCTGCAGGCCATTGCTAGTTTACCTTGAGCTGTCCTGATTGCTGTTCTAGATAAGCAAAGTTGATGACAGTATTAGTTTTGTTTGGTTTTAAATGTGCTAAAGAAAGGGTGAGATCATTATGGATATATCTTTTGGACCAAGAAATCTTGATGTAATTGCTCCTTCTTATCTCATAATTGTGCTAACTTCCTTAAGGGAGAAAGATCTATTCATATTTATTAGATGTGCGTCTCTTAAAAACAGCTCCCACCCCCATCAAACCATTGGAAACAAACAACCCTTCCCACCAGGTCCAAAACCAGTTCTTGACATTTTATTCAGTATCTTCCTGATTTATGGGCTTCCTTGTGCAGAGGTCATAAAAAGTTGTAATTTGTAGAATGGTTTTATACCTTATAATAGTGTATGCTTGTATGTGGCCACAGAAGTAAGCACTAGTGACCGGTAATCCTTTGACATTTTGGGGGGGGGTGGGGGGTGGTAATTGGTGGCAAATGTTGATGGTTTTGCTTTTACCCCTTCTGAATGCAGTTTATGTAAGCATGTTTACTCTCCATAAACATGTATGTCCAGTTCCCTGTAATACAAAGAACAGTAAGGCTGACTGCTATGGGAAGCTGGGGAATATTCTTGGGAGATTTTGTAATTCTGCTGCCCTTTGGAGGCTTGTAAATTGGTATGAGCAGAGAAGGAGAAAGTATAAAATGATGTATTCCTAGGAAGGTATTCTAGATTGAGGATAAGTATTGGTAGAGGCTGCAAAATCTCCTGTGGAGAGCAGGAACAGTTCTGATCACTGCTGTTTAGGAAATGTAAAATAAACCGGGTGGGATGCAGAGGAGAACCGACAGGACAGTAAGAGGAAGGCGTTCTATCCAATGAGGCTCTTTGCCTACCAGGACAGCAGCTGAGATGGTGTATGGTTACGCCTTCTGTATGTATCAAAGACAAAACAATAAGGAGGGAGAAGAGCCGGTTGTGCCAACAGGGCCCTGTGGAAGTGTAATGGATGCATAAAATGGTTGTGTATGCATTCAGGTTAATGGTTTAGGGTTCTTTATTGGTGACATGGTTCTAGACCAGCCTGCCAGTAGCGGGAATAGGGCTCAAAACCTTACCTGGCTCCAAGGCCACCATTCATTCCACTGCAAAAGAGCTTCTTCTGTGACTTCAGGAGTCTTTTCTCGGTCTCGCTCACGCATCCTAGTGATCCCTGGTTGCACTTGCACACCCAGACGGAAATGTTAGTTGTGAGTTTCCAGTGTGATGTCTAGGTCTTTCCTTGAGAGGTGCCCTTTCAGCCACGTGTGGGACCATTCAATGTTCACCAGTGCCTTTGCTGCCTCTGCCTAGGATTGCTTCGTAAGGCTGCCCGGCCCGACGTGGCACTGCAAGGAGGTGCCTGGCTGTCAAGCGCTCGCTCCAATGCTGACCTCTGCGCTGTGGCTACATACTGCTCATCACAAGGTTATGCCTAGTTATGCTATAGTTCCGTAACAGCTGTTTAAGAGAGCAGTGGGTCTGTATCTGGAAAAGGGAAGGAAAATAGTTTGGGTTTTGGGGTTTTTTTTCTTTAAATACTGCTAATGATCTGTCAGGACAGTTTCACCTAAGTGTTTAAAACACCCAGGTTCCCAAACACTCACCCTGCAGACTGTATCTCAGCAAGATATTCATCTGATAGCTCATCTTTCACCTCATGAATATGCCCTTCCAAAGATGCAACACAGGGTCGCTGCCACGGTTTACGTCCCTTATCTTAGATATTTAATTACAAAGATAAATAACATTAGGAAAATGGTAAGTAATACTGATAGACTAATCAAAGTCACTGTGTTTGGATCCTTTAAATTAAGCATGTAATTAATTGCTTATCCAAGAGCAAAATATTGGTACTAGAACCTGCCGTTCATCGCTCTGCCTGCTATAAAACCCATCTCCCACCTTCTAGCACAGGTGGAGTGAAACCTTTTCCCTTTTGAAGTACTTGTGCTGTTTGCTTTTCCTGAATTTGGGATTTATGCCATAATCATCACATTATTTTCTGTGGTGACTTGTTCTTTTATTCAGATGGCTGAGTTGCCGATCACGTGGGTGCAGAAAGTAAATGCATCAGTTAAAAAAAAAAAATTGCTTCATAAGTGACAGTTTGTTGGATGTTGCTTCTTAGCTGGCCATAATATTAGATGCCTTCACTCTCCTGCTTTGGAAAGAGCAAATGCATTTGCCATTGATCCTTACTGTTGGTCAGAAGAATAAACTTTTCTTAATCAATAAGAATAATGGTATTTGGGGGATTCACTTATTTTGAGGGGCTTTTTTTTTTTTTTGACTCATCAGAAACTTTTGTAACTAACTTACCTGTTCTGTGAAAATAAGGTTTTCACAACAGTACCTCAAATATGCAAGAAAATAATGCAAGAAGCTGTTCTGAACCACTGTTCTACTTGTTTGCTGTAGCTTTAAAAGAGGCTACTTCTAATTTGTGGAATAGCATTTTATGCAACCTGTGGGAAACACAATAGTAGCACCTTTCTTTTGTTAGTAAATCCTCAATTTACCTGATGCTTAAAGAAGGGGCAAGGTAGTTTCAGAAGCAATTAGGTAAGCAGATACTTAACACCTGATCAATTACTGTGAAGTTACAATAGCAAGTGACAGTGAACAGTAATTCATATGTAATTCTTGGAAGCTAATTCCTTATGCAAATACCCCGTTTATTGCAGTACAACGAGGGGCCAGTACTCCACCTTGAAACTGCTTGGTACTGGTGGGGAAAGGGAAAATGTGTACAGATTTCCTTTTTAAAGACACTCCAGCACTTCTAGGTAGTGACAGTTGTGGGGATACTTTTTCATTTTCATGAAGATGGGACTGGAATAATTTAAATTAAGTGATGTTAGAGAATGCAAATGTGCTTCTCAGAAGCAAAAACTAATGAATTTTCTTTCAAAGAAATGCAGATAATGTCTGTAAAAGCTATTCATTATTCTTTTTTGTGACTGCTTTTGGTATTTGCAAATCTCTTATCAGAATATAAATGCCTGTTCTTTATTTAAAACAAAGCTGAGATCCTGTGGGAAGATGGCTTTTTTTTTTTTAATGGAACAGCTCAGCTGTGTGCTTTTATTTTTTATAATTACACGTTGATAAACAATTTCATAAAGAGAAGATGTTTTGTTTTAGTGGCTTGTGGGTTTTCTCCTCTTCATGCTTGGATGTCCATAGAAGGTGCACAGGTAAATGTGACACTGAAGTGCCATTCTTTTTTCTTAAGCCTTGTACATGTTAGTGCTGCTTGACACAGAAATGTAGGTGCAAGCTCAATTATGAATTAATAGCTATGAAATGTAAATGGATTTTGCATGTACAAAATCTTAAACGTGGGCAGCACAAGTTCTGCTTGTACCTCTGTACATCATGACTTGTCTTTTCTAATGTGGAAATGGTTCTCTCTCACAGATAATTAAATATCAATTCAAAATCATGCAAAACAGAAATGATTGTTTGGGGTCTCTACTAGTTTGAAAAATACAGTTTTCTCTGCTATATATAAAAATATAGCAGAGAAAGAGGTTATTACCTCCCTCCTCTTCCCACAGTCCCCAATTGCGTCCAAATTAATGCTTCTTATGTGGAATTTTCTCATTCGGTTTAAAGAAGCAACAGGAACTTAAAACTGGAAGAGTGATTTGCAGTCCCAAAAGCCAAGGGAAAGAAGGATAATGTAGGGCTCTTGGACATACCATCTACTTGTCTGTGAAGGAAAATTCAAGACTTGTACTGCAGATGAGCAGATTTGCATTCTCTCAGTATCTCCTGGTGGAAGTGAGGCCGAGGTGTCCCTGGCCAAGCCCTGCAGCCCTCCCTGGCTCTCTGGGTGCAGCTGTGGAATAAAGGAGAGGCTCTGAGGCTCTGCCTGTGCCACCCCCTCTTGCTCCTCACCCCTTGGGATCCCTTTCCCCTCTGCAGAAGGGCTGCCAGAGGAAACTGCTTTTAGCCTCAGCCCTGTCATTTGTCTCGCTCCCTCAGAACATGAGGTTTCGCAGTTGCCTGTGAGCTTTGCAGCCCGTCTGTCAGGAAGCTGGTAGCTGTTTCCTACCACTTTTGGCAGAGGTATAGATCCCAAAGGTACTGGATTTCAAGAAGGTTTGTGAAGTTTGGGAGCTGGTTGGATGACATCGTGTCCCCGAACTAGTGTGCCCTGGGGCAGAGAAGCAATTACAGATCTCCTCTGACACAGCCTGAACGTTACAGAGGCATGTGCTGGCCAGACAGTTGACACATGCATACCTCTGATCCAGAGATGTCGCCAGCCAAAGCAGAGGAGGATGCCGGAGGAGGTTGTGCAAGGAGGAAGGGGAACATGGAAGGCATCAGAGAGCACTTTGGGTGGAGTAAGAGATGATGCAGGGGTTGAATCTTAGGTATTTGCAGATTGGGTGGGATAAAGCATTTCTACGGTACAGTCCTACATAACGCAAATGGTGGGAAATATTAAATATATTCAAATCAACAGTCTCTCAGGTAAGAGGCTGCTGTTGCCTGTCATAGCAGACTGAGGTACATCAGATTATCTCAACAGGTGCTCCTAAGATGTTACTGAGTAATGCTTGTAAACCTGTTGGGATGTTGTGGTGGGTTTCCTTAGGGTTTTCCTGCACCTTCTCCTCTGGGGACTCATGCAGAATGGTGATGTGCAGCGGCTCAAAGTGTAGCTGGAGTTGATTTGCCTGGATGACAGCAGAGTCTTTGCTTCTGTCTCAGATGTTGTGGGGTGCTGGAGCATTGTTTCATGTCACTGGGACATCAAAACCCTCTAGCATCCAAAGAGGTTCTGTGTTTCTCATATGAGCTTCAGCCCTCTCAACGTCATGTGCTCTTTCTGCAAACAAGTCTGTATTGAAACTTAACTGTTAACAACATTGACGACCAAAATCCTGCTGTCTTTGGTATCCTAGTATTAATGTGAGTAGCAGTTAATTTAGAAGCCTCCTTTAGCCACTGTTTGTGCTTCTAGGCGTTTCCTGAACATTTTTAGGTAAAGACAAGGCTAAAGAGTAATTGTGTAAAATCACGGGTTTAAATCTCTCTTGAAATCTTACCACACTTGCTGTTTCATAATCCTTATCTACAGATTTCCTGTTTGCCCACATTGTCAGCAGTGGGTAATTTTTCTCTTCTAAATCTAGATGTAGAGTGGTATGCTCCAAGCATGTCACCTGCTCCGATTTCACTGAATGCCTAAATATTTAAACCCAGTTTTGAAAACTGTAGACATAGTACTCAAATGGAATAAATATTTGGATAAGCAAATTCTATTTTGAATGTAAAGGAGTTTTGTTTCTATGTTTATCTGCAACTGTTTCCTTCTAAATTACATTGAAAAGTCCAGGTAATGCTTATCCTGGTACCTCACCTTCCCATTGATTGGGATTAATATGTTTCTAAGGAATACACCTTAAAAAGAGATTAGCATACTAGAATAAAATTGCATCTAATCAGAGTTTTGCTTTAAATATGAGGTTTTAATGCTTTTCCCCTAAACCATAGGTTCCTCATGATTGGTGAGATCTGCTGCTTTTTAAATAAAAACTTTAGGCACATCATTTTAATTCCTTGGCTGGAAGCAGGCACGTGTGAGGGATGAATCCAAGCTAGCTTTCAGCTCGAGTGAGCTGCAGCTGGAACCCAGCTGACTGAATAACTGAAGAAAGTATTTAGCCGAGAACTGGTTCAGCAGACTGTGGGTGTAGGCACAAGACTCAACCTGTGTCAGACCCTGTTTTCAGCATGCTGCTGCTTGCCAAGGGAGTTCATGCTAGCTGACGCTGTGCATTCCAATTTGCACGTGCTTCTGCCTGGTACACTTCTGAGAGAAAACCAAAAAACAACATTAGATTTCACTGTCTTTGCTGAAGTTTTAAATTGTGGGTTTTGGCGTGGTAGGTAGGAGCGCAGACACAGGTAGCAGTAACGGGTGAGGTGGCTGTTGGTTAAGCTGTGATCACATTGTGCTTCCGGATGCTTAGTGTCTTTCTCCAGTGCTTTGACTTTTCTCTACCATTTCTGTAACAACTGTGGACTACTTGAATAATATCTTAAATAAAGTGTAAGTAATATATAGTAGTAATTGAAGTCTTAATAGGTATTACAGTAATTTCAAATTTAATTTGATATGTTGGTTTTTAACAGTAATATTAAAACTGGACATATTATGATTTTTATTTTCTTTCTTTTAAAATACTGATTCATGCAGATGCATGCATGTGTTGTCTGTGTTGTGATATTTCTATGGCTGTAGTGAAAGAGAGGTGGTCAGTGGATTAATGTGTGATGCCTTTGGACATCCTGAAATACGAGGGGTTTCCACTGGCTTGTGCTGGGAGAGGTGTGAGGCCAGACTGTAGCACTGATCTTGCAGCTGGAGAAGTGAGACTTGGAGGGGAACACAGCATAACAGCCTGGTTCTTCGTAAAACTCGGTAGTGCTTTCACTGAATTCTGCGTAAGGGAGATCGGAAAGCTCAGTCTGATTGTATCCTTTCCTGTGGAGGAAGCCATATGACTGTTGCTTTCTCTCACGCCTGGTACTTCTGTGGTTGAAAGTTGGAGTTGCTCAAGAAAAACAATATGATGGAGCCGTACTAGAAGTGATGGGTGATTGTGACCCCTGTGAGTCCAGTGCTGAAACTAATGGAAGAGTTTTTGAATGCTGTTAGTTTGCTTAGTCAGAAGAATTTGACATTGAAGTTGGTTTGGGTATGAGCAAAAGATTAGACCAGTTAGACCTCCAGAGATCCCATAATTGCTCTGTGATCCCAAGTGCCCTAAGCTGTCCCACCCAGCCTTTGTCCCATGCAGTCCATTGAGAATCAAGAGAGTCAGTTGGACACTTATGGAAAACATGCTGTACATCTGTAAAACCATTGAATTAATCTTTTGCTTGCTGGAATTCCTAAAATGTATAGACAAGTGAAAAATTCGATTTTGGATTATAATTCTTTTAGTAGTCAGTACTAAACTTCAGTCATCAATTTTTATCATTCCTTTGTATTACTTAGCGATGTTTATGCACCAATGCCAGCCTGGTACGAGCAACAAAGACAAATTTGCTTGTCTTGAAATACTGTAAACTAAAATTTGGCAGAGGAAAAGTATTCTTTGAAATGATTTAAGAGCTGTTTTCTGTTACAAAATCAGAAACTTCCCTTCTTATTTTGAATATTTTTGAAAAATTGAGTTTCTGAGCCATTTGTTGTCTAATCTTTAGACACTTACTTCTCTGTCTGAATGTGTCTGGGATCTTTTTAAAATAATGTTTATCTGTTGTCTCTGAAACCCCGAGCTAGTGGACCTGATGAGATGCTATCTCCATTTCCTCTATTTCCCTTAAAAAGGTAATATTAAAACTCCCAGTTACAGCATCAAGGTGTGAAGCCCCATTTGGTTTTGGAACTGATAAAAAGAAGAAAATGAAATGAAATCTTTCGAAGATTTATCATTTGTTTTGTTTTGTTTTGTAGGTTTTTGTCAAGCAGGCAAGGATTTACGGTTAGTATCTCTGTGCATGGAGCAAATTGATATCCCAGCAGGCTTCCTGTTAGTAGGAGCCAAATCTCCCAACCTTCCTGAGCACATTCTAGTCTGCGCTGTTGACAAACGGTTTTTGCCAGATGATCATGGAAAAAATGCACTTTTAGGTAAGAGATCTTTTCTTTTTTTCTTTGTGTCATAATAATTCAGAGAAAAAGATCAGTTCATAATTACCTAAAGTCATTTCAGCTAATGACCTTCTATTAGAAATAGATTGAGGATGGGGTTGGTTTTATTAAATTAAATCCATAGCTGAACCTGCCTCAAAAGCCCATTTTAAAACAAGTCCCTGATTCCACAATTAACCACAATCGAGTCTTAGTGATTTCTGCGTGGGCAGAAGCCAGTTGCAGCCCTGGCATTCTAAATGTGAACTGTCTGCATACTCTTTATCTCCACTGATGCTTACAGCGTTTTCGTTTAAGAAGAAATACGCTCATGCAACTGTAGAAGATGAGCTATCTATTTTTCTGTGGATTAAGGGACAAATTCTGCCCTTGGCTTCACCAGGAACATTGTTCTCAGTAAGAGCTCTGAGGGCCATTTGCCTCTCAAAATCTAATACATAGGCAAAAAAACCCCCTCCATTTACATCATAATTGGTTACATTTATGAGCTTTAAAATTTTCATATGAGAATGCTTCTTGGTGAATGAAGACAGACATATGTGCATCTAGATTTCATGACTGGCTCACAACTGGTACACATTTTAACAGGCCAGTAAAAGTGATTTAATGTATTTTGGCTCCCTTAGCCTGTTTTGGACTTACTCTGTCATTTCTCTCTCCAGTCATTGTGCTGCATAGAATATATTCATAAAGACCTTTCACCAAGGAAGAAATTACAATAAAGCATAAATACCCTGTTTAAATTCTCCTCCAGACTACCAATATTTTGCACAACTATTGAAAACTCCTTTTTGTACTTACGAGCTTTAATGTTATTTCTCCCTTAAACCCATTTAAGACGCTACTACACACTGTAAACCTTTGGACTGAAGGCAGAAATCCCACTGGCCTGAGTTAGATGGGAGCTGTGGTATGGTGTGCCCTTGCTGGGATCATGGGGTGCCCTGGTGTATACTGCCATCCCCAGAGGAGCTGCTCCCTCACTGAGCAGAGGGTGCGTCAAGAGTTGATCAGTAAGAACTGTCTGACAGACAGACAGATGGTGTTTAGTCTGATTAAATGTGGTACTACTTGTCTGTTAGTAAGCCTTCCTCCCCCGCCTCAGCTTTGTATCAAGCTACCATCCCTGGTACCATTTGATAATGAGCCTCGTGACTGACAACTCTGCTCTGCCATGGCCGATGCTACGTATTTAAATGCCTCCAGGCTTGTGCAACTGGTACCTGTGAGCAAAGAATTGACTTGGCAACTCTGAGAGACACTGATGACTGTTTCTGACAGCTACGGAGAAGCACCAGTAGTTCCTGTGGGTTGCAAGGGAGGAGGGAAGGACTGATTCAGTCCTAGGAGAAACAGGATGAAGAAATCTACTTATCATAGAATCTTTAGGTTGGAAAAGACCTTTAAGATCATCGAGTCCAACCATGTGCTGAGCATGTCAAGAAGGTATGATGGTAAAAGGCACAATAAGGCTAAAGACAGTGGCTTAATTAATGAGTTTTATGGAAAATGCGTGTTTTCAAAAAGGCTGAATATATTTTTCATAAAATTGTGAATTTGGCTGACAGATGAGTCCAGGAACTGGTATTCTCTGAGGTAGTTGACATTGAGGAAAATAATGATACTAGTAAGGATGAGAAATTGGTTCTGTTACAGATCTTGGACTGATTAGTGAATGGGGAAAAAACCCAAAAATAAAGCATTTCTGTTAGATACTCATCAGCCCAGCACTTTTACAAATCATTATAGATGTTCCAGAAAGAACATAAAATACTTTTCCATTAAGGGTTGAAAGGGATTCCGAGATGAGTGAAGAGGCAAACAAGCCAGAGGAGTTTAATTATTCAGCATGAGATAATAGAGGGCTTATTCAAAGAAGGATTTTAAGACAGGCTTATTTCAGAATGTGCCCTGTTCTAGGAGATGTTAGACCGCTGCCGTGGGTGTGCAACATTGCTATTAACATAGTTGTGAATGGTGCTGGAAATAAGGCTGCGTATAATCCTCAGTCTGGACCCTGTCCTCCAGACCTCAACTCAAGGTTTCATCTCCTCCTGCCAAACCATGTTGGAAACATTGCAGAAAAAGAGTCTTCTGCCATCATTCCTAAATGTGTTACTTTTCATGAAGGTTGTACGTTTTTAAAAAGCATCCTGGAACGCTCCTAACTTGCCACAACAATCTGGACATTAAATGATTGCTTTTAAGACCTTAATAAGCTGCAAGTTCCAGCTTACTTGGAAAGTGCCTTGTAAAAGGAGTCTCAGAGAAAATTCACTAGATGTTAAGGTTAATTTTAGCCACATGAAGTTGTAGCGGCTACCGTGGATTAGCCACTGTTTGGAGAGAGGGAAGCATGCAGCTTGGATCCTATATTTTGTAATGTAGAAATGTGGAAGTAAAATAAGCAATCTCAGAAGTAAAGTAGGCAGTTTCCTAGCTTGGCGTCACAGCTTTGCCCCTCCAAGTAGTTGTTCCTTTCTGCACTGTGTAGAGTGGAAAATCGGTTGTAGGATTTTGGCATGTTAGTATGACCTAGAAAGATGGAAGGGTTTCAGAAAAGCTAAGACTTAAAATCTACCTGTGTTTGGCTGCTTCCTGACGCGCATGCACTGAGCAGGACATCTGCAGAAGCTGGAGGCCCCCAGTCGCTCTGAACTGGATGCGCAGGTGGGTTAAAATGGCCTTATTCCTAGCAGATAGCACAAGCCATTAAATCGGTGCGTATACCTTCTGCTTCTTTCTTCCAGGATTTTCTGGGAATTGTATAGGCTGTGGAGAAAGAGGATTTCGGTACTTCACGGAGTTTTCTAATCATATCAACCTGAAATTAACCACTCAGCCAAAGAAGCAGAAGCACTTAAAGTACTACCTAGTAAGAAGCTCCCAGGGTGTACTGTCAAAGGGACCTCTTATTTGCTGGAAAGGTAATACAGCTGCCCATTCACTTAAGGGGGTTTTATTATATTAGTGTGATGTTGAATGAAAAATTGAAAGTTGCTGTGGAAAATATATGCTTTCAAAAGGAACCGTAGAAGAGGACTTTCTTTACTCTTTGAAGCAAAAATTCCCACTGATTTCACTGAAGTCTGGATTTTGCCCAAGAGGTTTATTTAAGTCTATTTATTTTAGTATTTAAGTGCTTGAGTATTTTAGTATTTAAGTACTATTTATTTTAGTAACCATGCGATCGTAAACGGTCTTCCTCCATCTCCTCATACTTTCAGTGAGAGTCCTAAATTTGCCCTTCTTACCATGTGCAGCCATCTTTGTAGAAGAAATAAGGTTGCTCAATCTGCTGATTCTTTTCTGTGCCTGAAGCAAGATGACTCACGGCCAGGGCTCCAACATTGGCTTTTCACTGATACTCATCTTAGCAGGTGCAATTCAGTCAGTCTAATGCCTGAGGATAGCTAGCACACCATGAGATTAAGAAGGCTCAGGCCACTGATTTCGGGGAATGAGGAGAAATCTTGCATACTCTTCCCACTTACGCTGTGGTTTACGTTTGGGCTTACTTTGTACTGGCACAGCCTGTGCAATATTGCCATGTGCTAAAGAGATGACATTTGTGACCCAAGGCAAAGGTAGCCATGGGGTATGCTACTGGAGTATGCAGGTTTTTGGAGCTAGAGCCATGCAAAGACTCAAGGAGAGGAATGGTTTACCTGCTCGCTGTCTACTAAGTTGGTGTATATGCAGACTGCCGGTCTTCGTCAGCCGTGGTCTTACTTAATAAAGGCAGAGTTTGATCTGGTGCCTGTTGTTCCAAAGAGGGTGATGTGAGGAGAGAGGAGAAGCTCCACAGGAGGACTGACACGCATCTGAAGAGTCACATCCTCATGTGAATGGCAGCATGACACCAGAGAGAGATGGTTATCACCAAGCTGTATGAGTGATTATAGTACTGTATCAGTTAGTGGTTCAAAGGGAGCCTGGCTTCAGCTGCTTTTCTCAGTTACAAGTAGATTTAACTACTGCTTTAGCGTGGATGTGTGTTTCAGCAGTGTTTTTCACAGAACTACAGAAAGATTTATTTTCTTAGACTGTTTTTGAGTTCCAAATACAGCAAAAAGAAACCTTATTTTAATTTTGGGATCCTTTTTCTGAACACACCCCACCCCCTTCCCCCTGTGCTCATACAGTTGGGGTTGTTGTGTGTCCCGGTAAATGCTGTCGGGGTAACACACTTGTAAGAGGCAGATAACTGGGATCGCTTTTGCATATATGCTAACTGCAAGTGTTTTGAGCACCCATGAAAGCCTAGAAAATCGACCAGGAATTGACCTCATGGGCATTATTTTGCTAGGCTCTATCCCCATGTTGCTACCATCCGTCTGGTGGCCCTTTGCCCTTCACTCACTTTAAAGGTCTAATTAGAAGAAGAGAAGTGCTCTTAAAAACCCCCCTTCTCTTCAAACAAAACCTGATTAGATCTCAGTTTAAAAAGTGGATTAATGTGTAATTTTTAAGGTCACTTTCTCCTCCCTCAACTCAGTTTTCACCCAGACAGACACCCACAGCGCTGAGGTCTCCCTGAAGGTTTTGGGGAGGCATACTAAGAATCTGGGTTTCAGTGCAATTTCTACTTTTAAAGGGCAACATATGATGGTTTGTATAAAGGTTGTGCCACAGAAGCTGCTGAGCGTTTCCTGGGACATGTCCAATACCTTGGAAACCTCTTGGAAGCTGCGAACTGAGGGCTCTTGCCATTTTGCAGCATCTGGTCTGTATTTGCCTGGCCCTCTGAGTGGCCCCCAGGGAGGTTTTCCTAATTAGAAGACAAAGTTGACTAAAAGGCGAGAGCCGTATTTTTGTTGAACGCTGCTATTTGCCCCTGTTTGTCGTACGTGCTGTGTGTATGCTCTTAACATTTTGTCGCCTTTCGCCGCCGTGTTGCTGAACTGTCGCTACTGGAAGCCAGGCCTTGTTAATATGTACTGTAGCTGCTTCGTTTGCAGAATGTAGAAGCAGGCAATCATCTGCTGCTAGCCTCTCTGCTAAACCAAATTCTTCGGTGTCACCGTCCGCGACCCCAGAGGGTGGATCAGCTAATGGATACAAATCAGGGTTCACTCAGACAGGTAGGAGCTGGAAGTGCTATAAAGATAACCACGGGGGGTGGTAAGTTACCTCAGATATTGTTGGTTCAGGGATGCTGTAAACAACTGGGTATTTACCTCAAGCCTTGTGTAGATTACAGCAGGAAAAATGCCTATCAAAAGTTGCTTTGTGAAAGTTTAAGACCCAGGTGAGGCTGAAAGGTGTCTTAGTCCTCATAAGAACAGGTGATGAAAAAATTATTAAGAATACCTTTTCATTTATTTGATTCCGTGTCTCCCTGTGTTTATTTAATTTAATTTTCTGTGGATCTCAAAAAAACCTTAAATTGCACATTTATCGGGAGGGCTTTACTTACTGTATAGAGAAGATTATTTGTCTTGAAATGGAAAATAATCTCCTTTTGGGGCTAGAGGGGGCAGCTTTTATTTATTTGCTTGCTTATTTATTCAAGTTTTATTTCATAGAAGCGTGCACTGAGAATATCAATTTCCCCATACGCATACAGTGGTTTTGTGAGCTAGCATAGATCTCATAACTGTTCTAGAAAGCCATTAATGACATACTTAAAAAAGGAGAAATGATAAAAATCAAATGGACGTTGGCTGACAAAGAAGCAGCATCGTAATTCCATTTATTTATTTATTTGTTGCAGGTAGCCAAGGTGCTTTCCTTTGAGCTTTTCTTCTCATTGCTTGATTGCAGCTTCCTCTATGCTGTTACATGTTCTTGTGCCTGTGCTATTTCTTGAAAAATTAAAAACATGAGAAAACTTTGTTAGTTGTTGTAGTTGTTTGATATCTGCGTACTAGGTCGTACATTTCTCTAGAGGAGTATGAAATGCAGATGAGAAAACAAAATTGTTAAAATACTTCATTCGCTTACAAAGCGTGTTAACAAGGAATATCAAATGGGAGCTGACCATATGCATCCTTATGAAATCGTAATCACTGATCAGGATGTTCAGAGACGCTTTGCCCAGGTGGTCACCCCTGTCTCTGTATGCTTCAGGCTTTGGTGAAAATGAAATGAGTGTTGTTTAAACATCTGCATTTCATTGCATGATCCCTTGGCTTCCAGATCCTGGCATGAGAACTGTGCAGATGCATGAGAACCTATTTATTTGGGACGAGAATATTTACACAGCTTTGTCTTCTATTGTACCTGCCAAGTTAATGGATACACCTTTTATATACTGCTTTCTCCTTATCACTCCCTGCGATTTTCAGTCTGCTTGGTGTTTCTGTGTGTCACTGTTTGTACTCTTAGGTCACGGTTGTCAAAACCTTTTCATCTCCTTCCACTGTTATCTTCTCGTGAAGATAATGCCACATGCATACATATGAATCCCCTGTGACCGAGGGACAGGGGGGAGGGCACCTTTTTTGGTGGCGTGAATTCTGACATGTGTCGCCTCTGGTGGAGGTCTGACTTCTTCTCCCCTAGGCTCTGCGCAGCTGTACTTGGAGTTGACTTCTCAGTTGGTTTAAAACGGGGTTACTTATTAGCAAGTTGCTTTCTGCAATTGTTTTCAGTTTGTTGTCAACTCGTACGCATTTTTTACCTCTTGAAGTTGTGTAAATATTTCTGTTTTCTGCCCTTGTAAACGAGCAGTTCAGTCTCCCAGTTCTAGAAGACACACGCAGGTAGACAGTTACAGGCACACGTAGGGTACTGCGCTGAAATGGTAACTTCGTTGTAGAAATTAGACCACAGAAGAATTTCAAAACACCATAAAGCTGGCAGTACGGTGTGGCCATGACATTGCAGTCAGGTCTCGGGTCCTCCTTTCAAAACCACGTGGGAAGATGCAGTTCCACTGCAGAGGAGACACAAAAATGGCTGAAACCTTGAACAGAATCAAAAATTTGGTTTTAGGCAGACACACAAGAAGGAAAACTTCAATTCAGGTGTTAAAAGCAACTAGAAACAGGGTTTTACAATAGGAAGATGAGCAGTTTTAATAACTGGTAGTACTAAAAGTTCTGCTTAGGTACCAGTGTGATGTTTAAGCATATACCAGCCGCATCTATGTTGATAGATAAAATTTCAAGAAAATATATTAGAACTAAAGAGAAGGAAACCAAAAAACCCCAAAGCCTCAGGACAGCTGACTTTGAGGAAAGCTGTAACACTATGTATTTGCTACATCATGTTTAATGAGACCAACGTTTTCCTCCAAAACCCCTGATCTGGTGGTCTGTTTTGTTTGCCGTTCAGCGTATTTCCTGTGAGTGTGGAGCAGGTTTTCTGGTGGAGCAGCAACAGCAGAGGCTTCTTTGCTCGTTCCCCATCCCAGTTACTCCGTCCGGCAAAGCGGACTCTCCTCCCCACCCTCCTAAGCCAAATGGTGTGTGGCCTGAGGGTGAATGTGTTTGGCAGATGAAGTTGGGCTTTGCCTTCTGTTTTCTTTCCCTGGCTGTTTTATTAGGACATCTGAAGGTGAACTTAGCCTACTCTGCCTAGTTGTTGCAATCTACTTTGTGGACAGATGCAGAGTTATTGCTCTTTCACCCTGATTATAAGAATTTGGGTTTGTCAGTGTATCAGCATCCGAATGTTGAATTTTTCTTGAAGTAAATTGCAGATATTAACTCTTTGATGTTAAAGTAGGGGCCTACATGCTGAGACGTTTGGAATCAGTTCTGATTTACAGTTTTATACTGGGCAACTATTAGAATTTATTTCTTCTTCAGTTTATCCATAAAATAGAACTAATATTTTTCAGCCTTGGCAAAGTGCTCTAAGGAGTTGCCATTTGTTTATTCATGCAAAGAATTTGGCCTCAGAAACCTTTCATTCCTTACCCAGACTTATAAATGAACATACACTTTTCATAGCTTTATAGACAGTAGTGCTGCAGGGAGGTTATGTATCTGGTATTTATTTCTGCCCTAAATTAAGCTCAGCTGTGTCTGACACAGGTTTGATAACTTGTTCTTGGAAATCTCAGGTGATGGAGATTCTACAACCTTTTTAAGCAACTTACTCCAGTGCTTATTCCTTATGCTTGCTAGGGACAAGTCACATAAACTCCTTGCCTTAACTTTTCCCACAACATGGGATAGTTGTGTTTGCTTGCCTGTCCCACGGGACTAATTTGAGGAGCAATGAGATAGCTCTTTCTACAGTTGAAATATGTTTCGTGCATATCTGAATACAAAATGTGAAACACATCCATCAGTAGAATATGAGATTCTGTAGAAATGCCCAGTTAAACATTTGTTACAACTCCTCTAAAAGATACCGATATGTGATGATTTCTTATGAGTATAAAAAAAATTGTTTTATATGCAGAGATGAGTTTTGATAAATGTGTGTGAATGTTCATGTGTATATAATACAAATTATATACATGTGTCCACATATACAATTTTAATCATTATTTAATTAACTACTTTTCTCAGATTCTTCAGTATTCAGCCCAGCAAAATCATCTTCTGCTGTTAATTTAAGTGGAACTCAAGACCCAACCCGGAACAAGAATGTTGTGAAACCTCTGGCTTTGTCAGTGCAGCTCGTAGGAAAGGCGTTTTCTGCAGGTATGGCTCTGCTTTCCAGGATAGCTCAGAGCCAAGGGAATTACCAGCTTAACAGCCAAGAAATAATCTTTTTGATGGAAAAAGGAAAGGAGAACATTCACTATTATTCCCCAGAACTCTCATATTCTCTCAGTGCTCTGCACAGAAAATTTCCATGGCCATTACTGTCCCCAAACTGAGCCCACACCTTGGCTTCCAGATGGCTGCACCATCCCCTGCTCTCGGAGCATGTTTCTGGGAGAGAAATCTTGGTGGAGCTGGCAGATATGGTGTGGAGCTGTCGTACCCCCTGGGCTCCATGTCTATTCTATGCAGTTTATGCCTTTTTTTCCCCCTGCAAAAATTAGACTCTGCAAAAGAATAAGAAGTATCTCAGAAGTGTGAGGAGGATAACTTCTTGTGATCCCCTGTTGTTGTAGTTTCATTTTGTGATCTGGATATAGTGGGTCCTGCCAGGGTGTTAGACCTGCTGGGACTGGAGGATTATCTTAAGCAGAGGGAGCAAAATTAAGCATAGTTTACCTCAGTAGTGCTCAGAGCGCATGTACTGTACAGCAAACTCTCCTGTCTCTGCTTAATCTCCCTTGATAAAGCTTTATATCAGAACCCTGTAGTGGATCACTGTGTATGGTGCAGGGACAACTGGCAGAAAAATGTAGAGATGTACCAGAGAGGCTTAGACATCTTCACAAACTGAGTTAGTTATGTGCACTTTTTAAAACGCTCAGTGTCTGAACAAATGTGTCACAAACTTCCCAATAATTTCCTGTGTGTGTAATTTCCTATTTTAATCAGTGGGATTTGTTTTGTGTTTTTTCTTCCACCTATCCTTCCCACCCTGTAATCTAGAGACCCCGTTTCACAGTTAGGATTTTGCAGCCTGTGCCCATATTATTCTCTGCCAAGTACACTTCCTGCTTTCCCTGGAGTATGTTTCTTTCAGTCATGCACCTTGCCCTGTTCTTTTGTGTCCGCATGCGGCCGTATGATTTTTGTTTGTTTGTTTTCAAGATGGTTTCAAGCCATACGCTCTGTATTTTATTATACTCAGCTCCTCTTTCGCTGCGTACCACGGATGTTGCTAATGGAAACGCTAATGGAGGAAGAAATAATGTAATGAGTTCTACAGTTTCTCGGCCAATGCCTCACTCGACGTCTCCAAGCCCTAGCTGTGCAGCTGGAGACCAAGGTAAAGAAAACCTCTCTGTTCTTTTATTTTATACTACACTGTTTCAGTCTGAAACTTGTGATTTTGTTCTTCTTCCCATCATTGCTGTTTCTGCAATCCAGTCTTTATGGATCCATTTGGGTTTTGGCATGACCGTTAATGATAATTCTCTACTTTTTAACACAGGTAACAACATTTTTAGCATTCATAGTCTGGCTTCGTGTAAATCTGGGTGCAAACCTCTGATGCTCTGTGGCGTGATACCAGCTCAACACCAACGTGAAATGGAAGTGTGGGCTGGAATCTGGTCGTTTTGGAGGATGGCATTTAGAATTAGTTTTTTATTTCCTTCTCAGCATCAATGTCCAGTTCTGGACCACCAAAGAAACGTCACCGGGGATGGTCTCCTGGGTCCCCAGTCCCTCCTCCTGGTTTGGCAGTACCTGTTCCTACAGTTCGGCCTTCGGCAAGAACAGGTAAAACTTGCATCGTACAGATTTAATTTGGAAAAAGCTATGCTCAGCCAGACCTGTCGCCCCGTGCTGCTTCTCTTAAGTGTTGCGCAGCAAACATAACTAAGCTTGTTGAAGCAGTTTAGTGCTTCAGATGTCCCAGAATAACATACATGATAGGCCTGGTCCTTGTTGCATTCATCTAAGATGGGACAATGGGAATTTAAAATTACTGTGAGGGAGAGAGGAAAGGAAGAGGAGAGTAATATTAATAGGGATCCAAAGCTATCCAAGACCCCTGAATGTAACTCAGTTCTTCTAAAATTGTGCAGGTGTATGGATATGTGAACACATTTGAAGGATTTCTATTAGCCTTCACCTTGAGTGCTGTGTCTGGTGTGGCAAGCTACAGAAACAGTACACTCGGTTCCTGCACAGGAAAATGGGCTTTATATAACTTTGGCCTAACAAAGGGCACGGATATCCACTAGGTCATCTTCAGTTAAAAGCGTAAAGTTTGTGAGACCAAATGTCTGTTGTGCGTGGAAAAGCTGTATGTAACATCATCATATGAAACAGGATTACATACAAATATGTGTGAATGCTCATCAGTATCCGTGTAGGGTATGTATAAAGACATACATCTTTATACTCGCTCTCATCACTGCTGTCAACAAAACTGTTTGCTGTTTAAGCACTTTTCAGTTGTGCGGTTCATAATACTTTGCAAAGGGGAGTAAACGTTTATTCCTGTGTCTGTAGGGTGAGAAAATGAATATACAGGAAATAATAAAAACATTTGTCAACATGCATGTTTTTAACTCTGCTTTGGAGGGCTTGATTTTGAGGTGTTTTGGAACTGATTTTCAGACATGCTTATCATGGGAAGAAGGGTTACATGGTAGTGCAGGCCTGCCTGCTTGAGCAACTCAAATCAATCGCAACTTTTGTAGATTTCTAGCTTCAGAGACCTGCTGAAGATACGCGATAGAAGGCAATCTCCTCCCTTTCATTGAGTTTGTCTCCACAAATCCACTCCCTCTGCTGTGTACTCCATTTTCCAGGAGTCTTTCGTAGTGTTTTTTTCTGTTGGATAAACACTTCCACTGCATGCATTCATTCACGCTGCCTATGATGTTTTTCTGTTGATGGCATTGTTTGAAAAATCTGTTACAAACCACCAAATGAGGCCTGAGAAACTCCTGAAGCAGATCTCACACTGAAACCTGATCTGAGAATACAAAATTCTTACACTTCGATTCATTTAGTTTTACTTGTGAAAGCTGCTGTTGCTCGTTCGTAAAGTCTAATTTTTATCCTTGTAGCAACCGTCTAAGAACAACTCTGAGATTTTGGCCTGTGCTGGTTTTTTTTTATTTACATATGTACTATGTCAGAAGTCAGAGCAGCCTCTTGCCTTGTGCTCAGATGAGGTATTGGGAGGTAGCCTCTGTCTTAGAGGTGGCCTTTTGGCTTAGTACTTGGCTTTGTTTGAGGATGCATATTCAAACCTGTGTTTTCTTCTCTGCTTCCCACCAACAATACAGTGGTCAGAAAAAGTTTTATTTTAGGGGTGGGGCTACAGGAGGATATAGGCTCTTAATTTAAATTACTTAAAACTATAGCAGGAAATGCAGAGACCTTTTGAATTTTATTACAGTCAGTGATCTGCAGTAATTTTTTTTTCATTTGTTCATACGGCCAAATCACAGTATGAGCCTTTCATAATAGAAGCTTCTCTTTTCTTTATTTTATAGAGCCTCTTTTGTCAGTCCCAGTTCCTCAATCCATGTTAACCGGAATTTTACAGCCTCAACCCATCCCAGCGGGGGAGACTGTAATAGTTCCTGAAAACCTGCTGAATAACTCAGGAGTCAGGCCAGTGATTCTGATAGGTAAGTTTTGCACTGGGGAATCAAACGCTGTGTTTTTCAACATGCTCCCCTAGAGAAAAAGGGGTTTTTTTAATTTATTTTTGTTGGTTCTGGCATTCAGTACATGACGAAGTCAGTTTGTCATGGATAGTTTGCTATAGTTACTCAACATTTAAAATTGGAAGTTAGGCGATTTCTGGAGAATCTGATTTGCGAACGGGTCACAACTAGGTCAAATTTATACAAGTCCTCTGGCTAAATTGAAGTTTTGTACAAATAAGATTTTTGTAAAATCCAAGAATAGAAATATTTCCATGCAGTGAAAATAGCTTTCCACCATAAACAACTTAACAAAACAAGCAAATATTTCCTGCAGCATTTATAGTCCAGATCTTGAAGCCCAGGGATTCTGGATGAGAACCAGAAAATTGATTTGAACTGACTGATTGGAAGAAATTCTTACTAACTTTTGGTCTTTTTTTAATCTGTACTTCTTGTAATCAACTGTGAGATAACATATCAGGCTTTTAGGATCTTTTAGCTGTATAAAGTACATTGTTAACCCTTAGAATGACATTGCTTTTACTTTAAAAGTGTGACTCAAAATGTGAATATTCCTTTCAACCTGAGCTGTTTGGGCATACTATATAACTAGAGATGGGACAACTAGTACTGCCAGAGTTTTGATGAGTGATTTTTTTTTTTTTTTAACCTTAATTCTCTTCTCAGCCCAGCATAGTACAGATGGTTGTATGAGTTAGCAGAACATGCCTATCAATACAATCCATGGAATAATTTCTCATTCCTGAAGAAATGGAGAAGTTCTCCAAGTCCTTTCTTGCACAGATAGTCCTAATACACACAATTCCCAGGAGAATTAACAGGGCCATCTACACTAGTAAATCTGTCGAGAACAGGGTTGCACTTCTGGTTTGTTTTGCCTAGTGTTGTTTTCTGGGAGCCTGTTCTAAAGCTGTAGCATGGTGCCCTAATGGTTTTCAGAGAAACACTTCCTTATTAAAGATGAGGGTGCCTACAGTCATCAGCTTAAGTGCAAATTGAATGCAGCCCTTGGGCTCTTGGAGATTTGCCAGCAAAGTCCTCAGTTAAGCTAAACATTAGTGGCCCTGAGAAACAGCGTCCTATTAATAGTACAGAACCAGATGTACCCAAATGGATGGGTTTGGCAAAATCTGTGTGGAATTTATTTTTTAAAACGAAAACATTCTCCAGGAGAAGAAAAGTTAGCCCGTGCTCATGTGCTTTACCTTCCAGGTCAGCATGTTTTGTTGTTGATGTTTATTTAACCTGTTTATGAAAACAGAATGGAAACTGGCCAAAAAAAAGTGAAATCAGTCACAGCAATACCACAGTGGTTAAATCAATGCTAATGTGACTTATGCTGCTTTTATAATGTTAAGATCAATGTACTTTTGCCTCTATTGATTTTTCTTTTTGTACACTATATTATAGAGAATCTCTATTTAAAGGTCAGGGTAAGACACAAATAGATAATATTCTCATTTGTATTTGGATAACAGTAATTATTATCCTGATGGTATGCAGTTATTGTTAGTTTTTGCGAATCTAGGTGATCATTTGTTGTACAATACAGCAAAGGCTCGCTGGCCTATCTCATTTATTTTATAAGCAATTATAATGCCAAGAACAGTCACTGATGCAGTACCTTTTCCACGGTAACATTAAGGAGAAGCCTGTGCAAGATGTCACGTAGTGGCACGTTTTGTGAATTTCTGGTTTTGTTTTTGCTTCTTTTATCAAAGGTTATGGCACTTTACCTTATTTCTACGGAAATGTTGGTGATATTGTTGTAAGTCCATTGCTGGTGAATTGCTACAAGATTCCACAGCTGGAAAACAAGGATTTGGATCTCCTGGGTTTGACCAGCGGTCAGCTGCTAAGTGTGGAGAATATGATACTTTTAACTATTCAGTATCTTGTCCAGCTAGGTAAGCAGTTCATCATAAGCACTTGTGTTTTATTTGTGACTGTCCTTTTTTCTCCCCACCTTCTTTATGTCTGTTTCAGAGCCAATTTTCTGGCTGTTTTTATGCCTGGAAGAGGTTAAGTGGCTCCATCTAGTGTGTGTGACTTCGCTGCTCTGTTCATCAGACTGAAGAAGCGAAGTGAATTTAAAGGCTGATACTGCTTCTGCTCTCCATATGGGGATTGACCAGGTCACCTTTGTGAAAACGCATTTGCAATGCAAATAACTCATTTGCTTAGGGTATCAAACCATCAGTTATCACAGCTCTTTCTAAGGACACTCGGTCTGTTTTATTCAGTTTTGTGACAACTGCTGGCAGATGTGTGATGGTCATCATTGTTTTGGTGACAGCACCGTTTACATGAAAACCACATTTGTTATTCAGACTAAGGCAAGTGATTCAGTGAATATTTCATTCTTGTAGATGTTTTTGAAATGGACTCTTGGCAAGTTTGAGAGCAAACCACTTTTTCTTTATCTTATTGCAGGTCCACACATTTTTCCCTACCTTAGAGTAAAAAGCAACTGCGTTAACAGTAAGGTTTTAGAAGTTAAAAAATAGTGCTGGATAGTGTTGGGAAACTTCTCACAGCAGTCTCAGTTTTAACTTCTGTATTTGAAAAGATGCTGCGTATCATAGAGGAGTGTGAAATGACTTGTGAAGAGCACACTGCTTTTCCTGTACTGGGTTGCCACTAGGACGACTGTAATACATAATGGTAGGAAATGTGCAGACACTTCGAAAGAAGCACAACCGGTGATAATCCTATAATCTGGGGAGCAAAACCCCCTGCTCTATGCAGGTTTCACTCTTGGGTTCTTATGCTTTGCTATTCTCCCTTGATGCAGTACTGTTAGAGACAAGAGGGAGGCCATCTTCTGTGCTGCAATACCCTTTAGAGTGACCTGTTTGCTTTATGTATCTTTCTCTGCCTCAGTAATCCATTGCATGCCAGGTTAGAACTGACAGAGGGTTTCTTCATTTTTCACAGGCTGAATGTTTTTCTGTTGCCTTTCTCTCAGTAGGCTTACATGTGTTATTAGAGGTCTTCACCTTCACTGGGAAGTTCGTAGAGTCTGGATGTTAAAACTAGCTGGTTCACAGTTGTGGTTTAACCCCAGCTGGCAGCTAAGCACCACACAGCTGCTTGCTCACTCCCTCCTCCTCAGCAGGATGGGGGGAAGAGAATTGGAAGGATGAAAATGAGAAAATTCATGGGCTGAAGTAAAGACAGTTTATGTAAAGCAAAAGCCACGCTCACAAGCAAAGGAGAACAAGGAATTCATTCACCCCTTGCCATTGGCAGGCAGGTGCTCAGCCATCCCCAGGAAAGCAGGGCTCCATCACGCGTAACAGTTACTTGGGAAGACAAACGCCATCATTCCAAATGTCCCCTCCTTCCGTCTTCTTCCCCCAGCTTTGTATGCTGAGCATGATGCCATAGGGTATGGAATATTGCTTTGGTCAGCTGGGGTCAGCTGTCCTGGCTGTGTCCCCTCCCAGACCCTTGTACACCCCCAGCCTACTCACTGGTGGAGTGGGGTGAGGGGCAGAAAAGGCCTTGACTCTGTGTAAGCACTGCTCAGCAGTAATGAAAATATGCCTGTGTTACCAACTCTGTTGCCAGCACAAATCCCAAACACAGCCTCATACTGGCTACTATAGAGAAAATGAACTCTATCCCAGCCAAAACCAACACTTCCACACATTCCTGGATTGATAGAGGCAGCTGGCAAATTTCCTTCAGAGAAACACATCGCCAGCTGATACAGCATTTCCAATAAAAAATAAACTATTTATTGAAAATTATTGAGTCAGTGAACCATACTCCATGAGCAAATCCAACTGGGATGGATGCAGCAGGTCTATACTTGCTGCAGGCTGGAGGAAGCTTCATGCAAAGCTTTGGGAGCTGAGTTGTGTCTAGTGAGCACCCCGCCTTCAGCATGGAGCAGTTCCCTTATTAGCAGGTGATTAGTTTGGCTTTTGTTCTTAGTTGTGCAAAGCTGAATAGTTTTCCATTTGGTCTTATGTGGAGATGGGTGCCAGCACTGTAAGATGAAAGAGCCCAATGCGGAGAAAAGTCAAAGCATTCTGCAGAGCATGGCCATCAAAACATGTTGATTTTCTGAATATTGCTACAAACTTAAAACTGTTGGAATTGTGACAGTTGCACCGAACTGTAGCCTTTATCCCATTTTGTAAAATCAAAGCAAATTAAGGATGATTGGAGGGCAGCCAGCTTCAAAAGTTTTTGCCAAGGAGAAGAGACAAATACACACATAAATTGTTTATTCCTGTGAGCCTCTTCTTTTTTTTTTCTTAAGAAAGTATGAGTAAAAAATTATTCTTTTTTTCCAGAGGGTATTGTGAAAGAGTTGGATAAAGGCAAAGATAAAAAAGCAGACAGAAGAATGAAATAGATACTGTCTTGCCTAATTTTCTCACTACTTGTACAAATATGTTTGCCAATGACTGTGATCACAGATCATAAGAATATTATTTATGAAAGTGCTTCTTTTTTGAAAAAGGATATATGTGAGAATTCCTTTCAGTTTTATTAATTATTAATAATTATCAATTATCATTTATTTATTAATTATTAATTATAGAGCATTATTAATTGTAGGATAATGCTGTTGTGTTTTCAGAAATCAGCTGGTAATTTCACAATGATATTACAAATCAAAGCAAACCATATAAGTGGTTTTCTGATGCTTTAATTTTAAACCTACTACGAAGACTATACACAGTTAAAACTGTGATTGGGAGCCGTAGCACTGCTGCAAATCAATTCCACTGACTCTGATAAGGAAATAAGTAAAAATAGATAGAGGGGTGTGTTTGATTTCAGTGGTTCTTTACAGTCACCTGTACTTAACCAGCTTTCACATTTGGTATCTTTGGCAGCATTCAAGCTTTGTTTTTATCCCTCAAAATGCCCATATTTGCAGTATGGGTTACTTTCTCTCATTTGTAATTGTGTGTTTTTTACTAATTCATAGAATCACAGAATGTTTTGGGTTGGAAGGGACCTTAAAAGACCATCCAGTTCCAACCCCCCTGCCATGGGCAGGGACACCTTCCACTAGACCAGGCGGCTCAAAGCCTCATCCAGCCTGGCCTTGAACACTTCCAGGGATGGGGAATCCACAGCTCCTCTGGGCAACCTGTTCCAGTGCCTCACCACCCTCTCCGGGAAGAACTTCTTCCTGATATCTAATCTAAACCTCCCCACTGTCAATTTAAACCCATAACCCCTTGTCCTGTCACCCCAGTCCCTTGTAGAAAGTCCCCTCCCCCTTCCTTGTCAGCCCCTGTTGCACTACTGTGTCTATAAGCCTAATCTCATCCTACACACTGCTAAGGTTTGTGTCTAAAATTATAAAGTCATTCTCCCTTCTCTCTCGTTGGGGTACGTTTGAGTCGCGTTGGGGATGTGTATGTGCCGTGACACCCAGAGGTGTTTTGCAGCTTCAATATCCGAATGCACATGCAGACTCAAGGCAGGAACAAGCCTCCATTGTCAGTGGAAGGGATGTTCAGACACTCAAAGCAGGAGATTATTCCAGCCATTCTCCTGGTTTTGGATGGTCGGAGGAGTAGTTCTATGTGAGATGCACTGTGAAGTACGTCTACCCAGAAATGAATGTTTGACCAGAGGTGTTTTGCAGCTTCAATATCCGAATGCACATGCAGACTCAAGGCAGGAACAAGCCTCCATTGTCAGTGGAAGGGATGTTCAGACACTCAAAGCAGGAGATTATTCCAGCCATTCTCCTGGTTTTGGATGGTCGGAGGAGTAGTTCTATGTGAGATGCACTGTGAAGTGCGTCTACCCAGAAATGAATGTTTGAATATGTTGTCTTAAACTGTAGGTGCTTTTGGAAGCATAACTATGTTAATAAGGTCTTTTTCACATATTAATATTTTATGGTATTTTTTGCTTTGCAGTTTTGTTTTCTGAAGTCAGGATGATCCTTTGTGTACTCATTTCTGTAGAGAAGTTTCAAAATATTCCCTTTTAACCTGACAGATTCCTGTATATGTATTCATGAAACTGTTCAAAATCAAAATCAGTATCTATCATTTTGTTTTCCATCTCATCTGATATTAGTTTCGTTATTTTTCTGTATAGTTGTGGAGAAAGACTGCCACACACCAAGTGTGGTATTAAACACTTCACTAATTTAAAAATATTTCCTTATCAGTGCCTTTCTGATAACTGACTTTATTTTTTAAAGTTTTTCTCTGAATGAAATAATTTTTCATCACCTGAGTGAAATTCTGTGTGTTCTCATATGGAAATCTTCTATTTGTGCAATTATTTTCTTGCATTCATGATGACCCCAATGTCTAGAGATCGTCTCTAAAGTAACCTTCCTCAATCAACAAAAGCTTGCTTTTATTTCTTTTAGTGTATAACATCTTTTTTGTTGTTGTCGATATGTTGTAGATAGAGTTTATTTCTGCAGAAGATGTCAATAAATGCCGCTTTTTGTGGTTTGAGATCTTCAAAGATGTAGAATTCATGATGCTGTCTTAAAAGGGAAAGGGAAATACATTTCCAAAAGAAGAGAACTATAAAGACAGGATTATGCCTATTCTGCGTTAAATTAGACTCATCAGAACTTTTTAGCTTGCATCAAAAATGCTGCTTGCTGTCTTTGGCCCTGAAAGAAAACATAAACCCAAACCCCCCAGCATTTCACATATCTCTGGTATTTAAGTCCCCCCTTTTGTCACAGAAAAGCAAGCTGCTGAAGCGTGAAGTTCTCTCCTTTGGCACTGACAGGAGGTCTTGGCAGTTTAAGCTACAGTTACTTCTTATTCTGCATTCTTGAATATTCTTATCTGTTCCTGAGCACGTTTGGCAGTGAGACAAATCTTAAGGAGCAAAATGTTAATTGAAGTTGAGTCATGGTACTGATGCTGAGACAGGACAGCTTATTTGTCTGCTTTCCAGTTTAAGTTCACACCACAGTTTATAACGTCTGGGGACTGTAGATCTAAACTTGCATATATCTCTTAATGTTAAAAAATCGAAGATTTTCTGTATTAGTCAAATTTCACTAAAGTCACAGAAGAGGTTAAACATGTTTTGTTTACATCCATGCTTAGTTTACTAGCATGCATGATGAGACAAAGCGAAACAAAGACCACTTGACAGGCTTGGTCATACTGCATGGCTGCGATTAGACTGGAGGATAAGGATTTGGGTGTTCTGCTATAAAAACATAAGGAGCCTACATAATTAACCCTTCTGTTCCAGACAAAAGGCACATATTATCCCACTCCCCGATTGTCCCACCAGTTTCTGAGTGTAAAAAAAAAAGATTAGGGGTGAGATGGAATACTTCATTGTTAAAAAAAAAAAGGGGGGTAGGGGGGAGGTGGTGGCAGAGAGTGGCTTCTAACATGAAAAAGCAAGAATATGCCATGTGGGTGGTTATCCATGCAGTATTGAGTGGGTTTTGTGAATGTGAAAAACACAGTGAAGCAGCTTTTCAGATCAGGACAAACCTATGATTATTCCTGGTTCAATAACATTTTTATATGAGATATTGTTCTGTTTGTTTGTCATCGATGTAGGTCCTGACCAGATACCCCTGAGGGAAGAATTTGAGCAGATCATGTTGAAAGCTATGCAGGAGTTCACTCTGAGAGAGCGATCCTTGCAAATGAGCGCACAGTGTGTCTCTGTGTCACCAGGTCAGCTCCCTTGGCTTGCTAGGTTAATCGCTAGCGTGTCCCGGGACCTCGTGCACGTGGTCGTTACCCAGAACTCGCTGGCAGAGGGCATCTCGGAGACCTTGAGGTCTCTCAATGAAATGAAACATCAGCAAAAGCTACCCGATTATGTTGTTACTATTTGTGCATCAAAGATAAGAGGAAACGAGTTCTGCGTAGTAGTCCTGGGTGAGTATATTTGCAGTACGCTTTCAATAGCAGTGCAATTTTGTTGAATTAATTTTCTTGAGTCATTGTTCCAGCTTTTCAATCCCTTTTGTTCTTTTTATTCTCCTTCATATTGTTACACTGCAATGTAACGGTTTACTTATTGCTCCATTAAGACTTAGAGTGCTGATGTCCCTGAGGATCTAGAAAAATAGCTGGGCCCTGGCCATGACTACTCCTTGAGAGGCCTGAAACTTTATTGGTTTTGTGGCTACCTTGGAAAATACCTTGAAGTGACTCGGTGACAAAATAGTCCGTTTGTCTTTCTCTGTTTTGTGCAACAACTGTGCTATTTCACGTGGCAATATTGGACTGACCACAGTCTTCTGCAGACCTCTGTAAAGCACAACATGATTTTTATCATTTTTAGCATGTTGTTTTTCAAGTTTCGCATTGGTGACTGGCCATGATGTTTGTGTGTGCATGAGTATGTCTGGGTGGAAGTGCATTTTGTCCAGTCATCTTTCTTTTGTAGGCAGGTAAATCAGTAATGTCAATTCCTTGCTTTATTTCATGCTGGGGATGATTACTTTTTCATATTTAGCCAAAACCCTCCATTCCATCAAAGGTACAAATACTTACCTTGCATATCACTTGTCACCCAAGTTTGCAAAACTATGGGCAACAGCTTGCAAAGGATGTGCTAACCTGATATAACTAGTCCTTCAGTCACTAGCAAAATAGGCTTGAAACTCGTCTCCCAGTCTACTGGATAAAGGCAGTGGAGATCCATGGCTGAAGATCAGTCCCACACCTCTGGGATGGAAAGGTGGCGTTGATAACGCACTGCATTAAAGATTGCTCTCGCTTTTCTCTTCTCCAGGTCAGTATCAGTCTAGAGCCCTTGCAGAAAGCATGCTTACCACCAGTGAATTTTTAAAAGAGATCAGCTATGAGCTCATCACCGGAAAAGTTAGTTTCCTGGCATCACATTTCAAAAATACATCTTTAGGTGAGTGAACCTAAGAAACGGAAGTTCTAGCTAAGAAGGGTCATTTCTTCAGGGTTGGCCTGTCTCCTGTTCAGCAGTTGAATGAATGAATTCAGCAGTGGAATGAATTCAGCTCTGCCCTCTCCCCCGAGAAGCATTCTTTCCTTCTCCCTGTGCCCTGTGTGGAACGGAGTGCTGGTCTCCTTCACCCGTGCAGTGCAAGTTACTCATCCCACAGCAAAACATTTTGAACGCTGTTCATGCTGCTGAATGTGACATCAGGGAAACCCGTAAGCGCAATAGTCCGTTCTTGGTTGCTCTTCTAGCACAGGTTTTAGAGGTTGTTTTGTAGTGTGTGTTTCTTTGTAATCATCAGATGTCAGCAATAGCTGTAGAGGCACAGACCTGAAATTGTTCAGCTGTGGTTTCTTTTTTTGGAATTCATTCAACTGGCAAATCAGTAAATAAGAGAAGAATATTCTCCCTCCCTCTCTTCCCTGTATCTCCAGCCCCTCGCCCCTTCGCAGATTCGACAACAGCTATGCAAGAATTTGTGTGTACCTAACGTGCTGCATCATTTGTCTGAAAAAGCTTCCAGATAATTCGGTGTTGCTAATTCTTATCTAGGTGATGATTTGGACAAGCTGCTGGAGAAAATGCTACAGCAGCGAGGAGAAAGTGTCATTATTCCTTTTAACGGAGATGTTAGTGAGTGTGTGTCATCTCAGGAGGCAATTGCCATGGTTTCTACGCAAGAACCACGTAAGTTCTGGTTACCTGCAAGATGTGAAATAAGTGAGTAGTTTGCTAAATGTCAAAATGCTTGTGCCTCAGAAGAGTCTGAGGGCACAGCTGCAGTGAGTGTGCCAACTTTCAGATACTAACATTGCCAGCTGAGTGTAGAAATACAGCGCTCAGACACAAAATCTCAATAGCAACCTTTTTTCCCCCTATGGTTTATAATTCCTAAGCTAAAACACATGGTCTTCTGTTCTGCATGAAGCAGAGTATGGAAGATTTCCCTTTGTAACGTTGGGAATGTAGATTCATCTCACCCTTTTGCACCTAGAAAAGGAATGTAACCTTGGGTTTAAGGCAGAAGGGAACCGTGTTCTTGTTCTGATCTCCCTAGGTGTCCTTCTGTATCTTAACTTTTGATATTCTTCATTTTCCACTTGTAAAATGGCAATCATATTACTACACACTTGTGCCCTGTGGCTTAAACTCTTAAGGAAAGTGGTTAAAGATCTCAGACTGAAAGTGCTAGGCAAGTGTAATTGGTAATTCGCTTCTTCTAGATGTGTCTTATTCATTGCAATGTGATGAGGTATTTTAGGTGAAAAAGATAAGCTAGGATTGCCTGTCTAAAACCACTAATTATAATTTTCTCATTTTGGAATTCTTTCATTATTCAGTTTTAACCGCACTTTCCTTTTCATATGACAGTAATGGTAAAAGATACATTGAGCTGCTGTAGACACTGAGATTCTTTTAGGTGCAGTATCAAAGCAAATTCAACCTCCAGTAAAGCTTTTTCCCTGTGGAAGAGAGGTATGCTCTTGACTCACATTGGTTAGCTTCAGTTAATCAGCTCAGTGTTAGATCTGAATGAAAGCAAGGTGGTTTATAGTCTCCACACGGATCAGAAGATCCAGTTAGGAAGGCTGCCAGGTACTTTGTTCTGGCACACCCAGAAGGACAAGCCTTGAGCTTCCTCCCAGGATTAATTTGAAGGGAGAATGAGATTTTGATTCTGGTTGGGTTTTGGGTTTATTTTGTTCTCTGTAATGATGTGCAGCAGTGCTTTTTTACACTTTTATGTTTTCTCAAACTATTATTCTGAAATAGTTTTGTCTTTAAAATATGGATGTACCGTGATTGAAGCTAACTGGGAATCTGCCTGAATAAAAAAAGGAGAGGTAAGTCTCCTAGGCAGTGAGCCGGACCTTTCTCCCAGAACAGATCTACAGAAATGAACACTGAGGCAGGTTTGAGCAGGAGGTGGGTGCACGCACACAGATGTGTGTCTATACCAGGCTTTTGCCCCAAGCACCTTTCAGTTTCTATGTAAATTGCAAGATTTTATGAAGAGGCTTATTACTTTAAAAAGCAACAATAGTTCTTGTGTATTAAATTCGCAGTAGCTTTGGATTTTTTGTAATAAATTTGCCCTGTGTCATTTTTTTGATAAGCAGTCCATTAAACAGAATTTAATTTGCAGTAGAAAAACTGCCATAAACAAAAACTGTAATGACATTGTAGGATTAAATTTGGTAATCTGCAAACTGAAAATATTCAGGGGCTAGTGGAACGTGGATCATTGGGCATAGAATTTACCTATGGGACATAGTGAAATATAGGCACATGGGGGTTCTTTTTGAGGGAACAGGGATACTCTGGTTCATGTCTGTAGAGAGCAAAGCTCCAGTCCCACAGTTCTCTGCAGCTAGTGTGATATCGACATTTATTAAGCTCAAATAAATCTGAGACTAAAATCTTGTTAAAAGTCAAGAAGCCTCCAAAAGAACGAGGCACGCACACCTCCCACCCCCTATAATGGAGATTTACTGCCTGGGTGTATTGCTCATCTTCCCTTCGAAGTGTATATTACTGTCAGTCAGTGTGTCGACATACAGCTGTCTCGTGCCTGTGAGTGGGGCTCGATTTCAGAGCAGAGAGCGTGTACAGATGAGCTCCCAGCTAACCTGCTGTCCTGATAGTCTTTTTGGCAGGATTATCAACTCAGGCTCAGTTTCCTCAGATTAATAGGTGTGCTGGCTATCATCCCATCATGCCCTGAGCACAGTAACCTCTGCACCCATGGCTGGTTCTCCCAGCAGGGATGACAGCGGGATGCCCCCGG